ACACACTCCACGAGGCGCCCAAGTTCACCGTGGAGACGCTGGAGCACACGGTCAACAACGACTCCGAGATCTGGGGGCTCCTGCAGCCTTACCAGCACCTCATCTGCGGGAAGAACGCCAGCGGTAAGTGGCCACGCCGAGTGCTACTCAACACGGCCAACTCTCGTGGCAAGTTTGCCTCGCGCCCCCCTCCCGCGTCGTTCGAGCCACCCGCGGCCGTCCCTCCGAGGGGACCGCAGAGCTGGAGGTGGGGGGACCCCGCCTGTTCCCTCCTGGGCTCCGGCTCCTGAGGTCCCAGGTCTGAGAGCGCGCGGTTCCGCCCACACTGCGGGGCCGGGCGGGGCTGCCTCCTGCCTGCTTGGGAAGAACCCAACACCCTATTAGGGGGCAGGTTTGCGATCCTTTGCGCGTAGTCCATATTTCTGTCCGAGCCTTGTTTTTTTTTGACCTTGAAGATGCCAAATTCTCAAGCCCACGAGTTTGTCTCCCTGAATTCGCGAGGAGGCCCTTCTTTCCTCCGCCGCCCGGTTCCCACACTTCCCCGCACCCTTGGGGGGCAGTCAGGGCCCCTGGTGGAGAGGCCCCGCGGCGTAAAGGCAGAACCCGTGAGAGCTCAGCTCGCTAGTCGCTGAGACAGCAGGGGAGCGGGGTGTGTGGGGAGAAGGTGCAGCGGGAAGACTTATGGGTCCCAAGTTTTTCCGGAGCAGAGCGCACAGCTGGTGGGTGCTGCGCATGGACACCCCTCCCCAATTCCGACCTCCCAGCTCGTGCCATTTGGGGATCCCCGTGGCAGGAGCTGCAGCCGTTGCCACTTGACTTAAGGAGCACCACCAGGGGCCCGGGCAGGATGGGAGTGGGGCGGGGTCCTGGAGGGGGAGGTGTCAGTGTAGGGCGTCGTTTCCAGCAGGTTCTGTCATTCTTCCCACACCCCCCCGTTTTGGAGGCGCTGGCGGTCCTGCCTGTCTGTGAAAGCCGAGCTAGACACTTCAAAGCGTCCATTTTCCACAGGAAATGGTAGAAGCGTAACTGGAGAGTCTAAAAGCGAAATAAAACTTTGTTTTCTATTCGGCGGTTTGGCCGGAGGTTGCGTGGTTGGAGCTGAAATGCAGTCTTTCTGGGCAGATTTCATTCATGTTGCTGCCTGTCGGTTTCCCGGGGGCTGAAGGGGAGGTGTGGCGGGCGCGGCCGGGCCTCTGGGGGGTACCAGATGTGTGCATGCTAGTGCGTGTGTGTTGGTGAATCTCTACATGCGCGCGAGCGTGTGCGCGGCCGTGCGTGTGTATGTTAGGTGTGCCTGTGAGTGCGCGCAGGAGCGAGCAGGCACGCGGGGCTAGAGTCTCCAAGAGAAGCCCTTCGGAAACCCGCCCTCCAGCTCTCCGTCCCTTCACCTGGCTTCGATCACCGTTGGGGGCGGGGAAG